AATAAAGGCATAAGTTGCTGCATCTTTGTGAAAACAAAATAGTAGATGGCTCAAACCTGGAAAATCACAAATGCATGTAATTTCTACATATCCCATTATGACATTCTTAATACCTTGCACTTGTATAGAGGTTTCAAAGTATCTCTGCTCTTTGAAGCTGGTGAAAAGAGCCTTCATAAGTTCCTACTAAGTAATAAGACTCAACCCCCTCAGGAAATGAAGAGCAAAAGCACTCCGTGTTCTCTTTCATTTAGTCTCACATGAGTTCATGACTTAACACTAAGGAGCAAAAAGTCATATCCCAAGTCATATCCATCATTATCTATTCCAAAGAATTACCCTTGAAACAGACCTTGAATTCATGAGATTCAACCCGGAAAGGACTAATAAAAGAGGTGCATCATACAATATTGGGGGGGGGGGGGTAGACTGGTATTGTCACTGGAGGAGGGAATTGATGGGTTAAGAAAGAGAATTTCAATTTATAGCCACCACTCACAGAACTATCTCACTGGTGTTCAGATAGCTCTAAACAGTAGCAGCTGGATCCTGATTTCCCCTGTTTCTTAGCTAAAACATCCCATAGGCTCAGGCACTAACTTGTTCTCAATGGAAACTCAGTGGGAAGGTGTGACTTTAATCAATAAAAATATAATACCATTTCTGGGGATGTGGCTAAAGTGTAGACGTTCCCGCTGGTGAGTGACAGGAAGGAAGCGCTGTGGTTCACAGGTCACCACTTTGAGATTTTCTGAATGGCTGCAAAGAGCTGGCCTGCAGGTGTTTGTTTGGCCTCAGTGATGATCGGAACACTTAAAAGGTGGCCCATCTGGCATTAAAATCTGGATTTCCAGTTTCTCTTAAAAAAAGATGATTTGGTAATATGGTCGATGTAACTATGGTCTAGGATCAAGTAATGGTGTCTCTTTAGGATAGGCATATGTTCCATAGTTACTCTCAGGAGGCCAACCTCACTCCATCACTCTATAGACAGCCGAGTTTGCAACCAATGACAGAGTTGAAATCCTGGGCAAAATGGTGGAGGAGGTGACTTTCAGCTTCTGCAAATGTCTGCTTCCTCCACTTTTCCATCCCTCTCCCTCCTTGCCTCTCATCAAAACTTTCCTGCACTTTATCCCATTTCTTTTGTGTGTTTTTTTGTTTTGTTTTGTTATTGTTGTTAATCCTCACCAGAGGATATTTTTTTCAATTGATTTTTAGAGTGAAAAGAGGAAGGAAGAGAGAGAGAGAGAGAGAGAGAGAGAGAGAGAGAGAGAGAGAGACATCAATCTGAGAGATACAGCAATTAATTGTCTCCCTCACATGCCCCAAATTGGGGAGAGAGCAAACCTGGTATGGTAGGATTTGAACCTAGGACACTTCGGTGCACAGGCTCCTGCTCTAACCACTTAGTAACACCCGCCAGGGCACTTTATCCCATTTCTGCCTGGTTTTATTTTGTTGTAGGTATTGTGTTGTTTTGGCCAGGAAACTACTTAGCAATCTGATAAACTAATCAGTGAGGATGGACTAGGTTACATTCCCAAAAAACATAGTTGAAATGGATTCCAGACTTTCTAAATACATGTCATGCCTTCAAGGCCCAAAGGAACTTACCTACCTTATAGTCAGCTATCCATCAGACTTCTACTTTCATGAATCTATTTCTGTGTGTAATATCTGCAGTTTACTCACAAGTAACATGCAAGTAAGGACAAGGAAACATATCATGAACATATTTTGAGGAGATGGCCAATTCTGATTATTCAAATATTTCAGTTTACCTAAGTCACAGAAGACCTATGAATCATCATTTCTGGGTCAAAAGTATACAGCAGAGTTATAGACATGGGCTCCGTTCCTCAGCAGGCCACACTGGCCATGGCCACGAAAGCAAAGCTTCCTTTGTGGATGATGATAAAGCGAGATTCCAAGAAGGAAACCTTAAATTAAATTTAAAATTTTAATATGTGTTTCTTTTTAGTTGACTTCAGAGAGAGAAAGGGAGAGGGAGAAAGGGATAGAAACATCAATGATGAGTGAGAATCACTGATTGGCTGCCTCCTGCATGCCCCACACTGGGGATGTAAATTGAACCGTGACCTCCTAGCTCACAGGTCGATGCTCAACCACTGAACCACACCAGCTGGGCTAAATTTAAAATTTTAAACCTTGACTTTAAGTAAAGTCAAAAGAGATTGTCATACCCTCCTAATTAATGTACAGAAAATTATAAAGACAACAGATTTCTTTTCCCAGTTCTTCGAGTCTCCTAAAAATTTCTATTGCCTAGGAGTAGTATTCTTGATTTTCCAAAGATGGAGAAAAGTGTCCCAAAGTGAGTTTTCAGAAGGAAGATACCAGGTAAATATAAACTATATATTGTGTTCATACGTCAGAAAAATGGCAGTCTTCCTTATGAGTCACAACTGCGTTTGAGTCTTGGTGGACAGCCTTCCTAATGGAGACCTGCCAGACTTCCTAAAAGACCACGGATGGACACACACACACACACACACACACACACACACAGAAACCCACAGCACAGGTGCTCTCCTTACAGCCCAGCCAAGGGCCTGATGAATTATATTCTCCAGGCTAACCCTCAGCCACACCCTCGGGAGGCAGTGCCCTGGCTCCTCCTGTGCTAAGCAGCTGGGGGATGCAGCTGGGCAGACCCAGAGGGATGTGAAGGCGCATTTGGCTGGAAGGGTCTTACATAAACATTAAATGTCATCACGGAGGTTTGTTCCTACTTGAGAGGCTGATCTCTGTTCTCAGGCAACCTCACCTACCGAATGAACAAATGTAATGTTTCAAGCCAGCAAAGAAATGATTTGTTGAATGTTTGCCAGGTTACCCTAGATCCATAGATGAAGCCACGGCACATCTCCTATTTCAGGGCAGCCAGCTGTTTCAACTTTTCTGTCAGGGGATCGTGGCCTCGGCAACCGTATCTGATGCACCACCGATAGTCTCCAGGCGGCCCTCGATGTGGCCATCTGTGCTGCTGGCAGGGAAGCCATCCACAGGTAAGCCATCCACCCGTCCTCCCATAGACACGCTACACGATTCTGGAAACCACTCTCTCCCTCAACATCCTCCTCTGTATCCACATGACCGATCACCTCCTTCACGCAGTGGGGCCGAACTGAGCACCATGCTCATGAAGTCACCAGAAAGAGGATGCTAGACTCGGTGTTAGCCTGCCCGGCGTGAAAAGTAAGCTCCCCCAGGGGAAGTTAATTTTCTCAGGGTACCACTTACTCAAGCATCTGAATTCAGTAAGATTCTTTAAGCTCTTTTACAAAAACACATTTCTTTCTTTCTTTCTTTCTTTCTTTCTTTCTTTCTTTCTTTCTTTCTTTCTTTCTTTCTTTCTTTCTTTCTTTCTTTTTTTTTTTTTAACAAATATTGAGCCAAGGAAAATAATTATAGCCATTCTAAAGCACTAGACTATCCTATTGCTTAAGTGTAAGTGGCCAATTAGGCAGTGGCCCAGTGAGGTGGTTCCACCCAGACACACACTCAGCTTGAGTAAATGGTTCTTTGTAGGTGTTCCCTGAACAAGGTGGGGTGGATGTGCTTCTTAAACCCTAAGACTGAACGAGGAGCTTTATTGGCAGACCAAGTGTCTTCTTAGCTAGAGGCAAAGGTGATATCATCTTGGACTATGTGAGGGGGAAAAAAAATCTTTGGTCAAGGCTGTCCTTTTGAATATTTTGTTGAGTTTTAGTTACACTTTTGAACAAACCCAGCACTGGCCAAGGGTTCCTTTTCAGTAGGTTCCGAGGGGCCTGAGCTACACGCCCCCGGGGGCTGGTCACGCGGGGCGGATAGGTAAATGCGTGCTGTGCCTGTTATCAATCTGACGTAGCTGCACTCTCACGGTCATTAAAAACCAACCCGACCAGCAGAGGACCAGTCCATCCACCTCGGCAGGATTATCTCAGGGTGGAAACTAGGAAGCCCTGCCGTAGAACTTTGTCGTCTTTCTTCGGAGGGACCGCCAATCCCTTCCAAACAGAGCCCCTCGCCTTTGTGCCTGGGAAAGGGCAGCTCACCGAGGCCCCAGGGGTGCGGCTGAGGTTGTGGGGGCGGGGCGGCCGGGGCCAAGGAGGAAAAGTCATAATAAGTCAGAGAAAAAGCCGGCCACTTCCAGGTATTCCCCAAGTGCCAAAGGAAAAGGAACAAAAAGAACTCGACTTCCTCCAGAGCAAGCCGTTCACGATGCACCCGAAAAGGGCCGGTCACCGCGCCCTGGAGCAGGGGAAGGGGAAGGGGTAGAGGGGAAGGGTCTGGGGTGTTTATTTCGCCTCTGTAGAGCGAAGACCTTGGGGGCCGGCTCCTCGCCAAGTCCAGCCAGCGCAGCTCCGAGCTGCACCCGGTCCCTTTCGCTCTCCGGCGCCTGCCCTCCGCCAGGTGCTCGCCCTACCTGGAGCCCCGGCGGCCTTTGTGCAGCCCGCGCCGCCCCACCGGCGTGCGGAAGGGGAGCGCCGGGCAGCCCCGCCGGTGCCCGCGGGCGGGAGGGGCGCGCGGGGACCGCGGGGCGCAGCCGGCCGGCTCCCGCGCCAACGTGCGGGCGGCGATCGGCGCCCGGCCGGTGGGACCAGAGAGGCACAGGCGACTGCCCCATCCTCCCAGCAGAAGGGAAGGGACACTCCCCCCCAAAATCCCTTCTCCAAGCGCCGTGACCCTGAACGCACATCTCCCCAACACCCTGGCTTCCGACAGCTGGCAGCCATCGCTGCCCGGCCACAAAAAGTTTCGCGACGACGAAAGCGACTTGCAAGAAAGTTTTCCTTGGCCTCTCGCTCCCTCTCCCCCTGTCCCCGGGTACAGGAAAGCGGTAGGAAATCAGCGATCGCGACGTGCGGGCTCCGGCGTCCACCTTCTCCGCCCCTGGCCCGGGCAGCGCGCCCAAGGTGGGTGCCCCGCGCCCAGGCTTCCTGCCCCGGCCGCGGGGCCAGGCGTCCCGGGACGCGGCGCGGCCAACTCACCATGGTGATCGCACCGCGGTCGCGCCTCTGCCGGTCTCGGGGAGCTGGAGCTGCTGGGATAAAGTCTCCTGGGCAAAACTTCAAAAGTTGGTTCCCTTCGCCAAGACCGGGCTCTCGCCACCCGAGCACTCACTCCCGGGAGCCAATGGCAACCTCAGGGGGACTCCATCCAGGAGGGATCGGCGGCGCTAGGTGAGGGCGACAGGGAGGCGACTCAGCAGGAGGGGCGCATGCTGCCCCGGGCACAGGGTCGGTTCGGACCCGGAGCTCGCCGTCCGCCCGGAGGGGTCCGATGCTCTTCGCGCGCCTGCCCGCCCGGCTGCCTGCCCAGCCTCGCTGCTCTTTCTTCGGCCACTGAACTCGGGACTCCTCTGGCCGAGTCTCGGCTCGGGCAGGGCAATCTGTCCATAAATGGAGAATTCAGCTCGGGCCCGGCCAATCAGGGTTTGTTTTCGCGGCGTCACTCCTTAGGGAAACCGCAGCAGCCAACACGCTGGGAGCTGCCGGCGCTTCCAAAGGCCTCTGGATCCTGTAGTTCTCCCGGCCCCGCCGCTGCCTGCACACCCCGCGCGCTCCGGACGACTGCCCCGCGGAACTGTCAGGAGGGAAACTGCGAAAGAGAAGCAAACCTCTCGGTTTTGTTTTTTTCTTTTTCTTTCTTTCTTTCTCTTCTTAACCAGAAAGTCAAAGTAGCTGTAGCTTCCAAGCTTAAAGGGTATGATTTTCCCATAACTTTTTTTTATTTATTTATTTATTTTTTTATTTTTTAAGAAGGAAACAGGTTATCAGCATAGAAGATCAGAGTTGTGGCAGCAACCCAAAGGAAATCCTTTTTCTTTCCAACGTCTGGATTGTGAGGAAAGTAAAAAAAATACCATTGCCCCCACCCCTCCCTTTACCTGAATTTCCTTGGAAAACAAAGGAAGGCTCTCTCCCACCCCACCCCTTTTTTTTGGATTTTGTGAAGTTGCCCGTGCAGCGAACAGGGCAGAGGAGAGGTAAGTGGGGAGAAAGCACCATTCAACCTTGGTCTACCCATATATGTTGAGAGCAATTAGCAGGACCATAAGAACTGTAAAAGTACGTTATTCCAGAGTGAGGGGTTTCCAGAACTCACGTGGGCAGTAAGGAGAAGATGGGGTGGGGGGAAAAACAGAATCCTGAAATAAAGGTAAGGGATCGATTTTAGTGTTTTAAGGGTTCCGGAAGTAAACTTGATGTGTTACAACAGGATTGTGGGGTCTGTGGTAAGATTTGAAAACTTGAAACAAAGTTTCAAGAGCAACTATGAAACATAGTGATTTATTTAAGAACCGAGGTGGTGGCCATTCACTTGAATATAGCATCCTAAAGTTGGAATGGATATTTAAAACCATTTTGACTAGAATGTGTTAAAAAAAAAAAAAAAAAAGGCAAAATCCACACCATATAATATTAATGAGCCATTAAAAAGGAAGGGCCCTGACTGGTTTGGTTCAGTGGATAGAGCGTCAGCCTGTGGACTGAAGTGTCTCAGGTTTAATTCCTGCCAAGGGCATGTGCCTTGGTTGTGGGCACACCCCCAGTAGGAGGTGTGCAGGAGGCAACAGATTGATGTTTCTCTCTCATCGATGTTTCTAACTCTCTATCCCTCTCCTTTCCTCTCTGTAAAAAAATTAATAAAAAAAAAATTTTAAAGGAAGGAACTCCTGACACATGCTACAACATAGATGAACCTTGAAAATATTATGTTGCCGAAACCAGTTTGGCTCAGTGGATAGAGCGTCGGTCTGCGGACTGAAAGGTCCCTGGTTCGATTCTAGTCAAGGGCATGTACATTGGTTGTGGGCACATCCCCCGTACGGGGTGTGCAAGAGGCAGCTGGTTGATGTTTCTCTCTCATTGATGTTTCTAACTCTCTCTCTCTCTCTCTCTCCCTTCCTCTCTGTAAAAAATCAATCAAATATATTTTTTTAAAATGTTAATGGACAGAAGCAAGGCACAAAAGACTGCATATTCTATGATTCCATTTATATGAAAGTAGAGAATGGGGCAAATCTATAGAGACAAAGTGAGAGTGATCGCCAAGGGCTGGGAGTAACTGCTACAGCATATGCATCTTCTTCTTGGGGCAATAAAAATGTTCTGGAATTAGACAGTGGTGATGGTTGCACAACTTTGTAAATATACTAAAAACCACTGAATTGTACATTTTAAAGGAGTGAACCTATGCAATATATGTAATTTATTTATTACTTTAAAAATGGAAAGAAAATCATGTTGACTAAATGCTTACGGTAATCATCCACCCAGTTCGGCAATAGATGTAGTTGAATGCCTACTGTACAGGTCATCACAGCCACTGTGAGTATCATGGCCTGTGTCTCCACTGAGCGTATGATTTTAGAATGAGGGAGAGAGAAGACAAATTTTAAACCAATAAATAATGGCAAGAAAAGTACAAATATAATGAGATGTGACAGTACCTTTGTGTGAGGGACTGCCATATTTGTAGCTATAGATTAGGTTAGAAAAATTCACCCGGGAGGGACCTCAGTATAGACTATAAAAGAAACAGACATCTGTTGAGCACTCACTAGGTACAAACAGATACGACTCACCAAATTCTCAAATAAATCTGATTCCATGTCTCAGGGGCACATCAGCTTCAGAAAACCATCATGCATTTTTGGAACTAATGCCCAGCGGCTACTGAGAGGGAAATGTGAGTTTACCAACACAAGAAACACTACTTAGGTTGAAAATAATATGTTCTCTATGATACCGTGCTCAATCCTGACCGGTAGCTGGATTGACATGGGCTTCAAGTGATACAGGCCAAGATCTGGTTGTTTTTCCCAAGGTTAACCCAGGGATCCAAAGAGACACTTAAAATTACTTAATAATCTAGCAACAACCTACTCAATCTTGGATTTATCTAAAACTACCTTTAAAAAAAAAGAATAGTTTTTATTGATTTTTAGAGAAGGAAAAAGAGAGAAACATCTATGATCTATGTGAGATTGTAACATCCATCAGCTGCCTCCTGCATGCGCGCTTCCCCCCCCCTCCCCCCCCCCCCGCCCCTGCCCCTCTGCCAGGGATGGAACCCCAAAACCTAGGCATGTGCCTTGACCAGAAATGAAACCAGTAACCTCTTCATGCACAGGATGACACTCACCCAGTGGCCAGGGCTCTAAAACTATCTGGACACTTTTGTTGGCTGAGATTTCTTTTTTTTTTTTTTTTTTTTTTTTTTTTACTGCTTACTTTTATTTGCCCTAATAATCTCTTTCCAGTTTTAAGATGTATTACTAACTCCAGGTAGGACTTTGATGAAGATCTATGCTTGTATTCGTTTTTGATGGTTTTGTAATAAGATTCCTTTCCAGATTGAAATATAAATATATATTCATTTTTATGTCTAAAGAGTTCTTAGATTGTGGGATTTAGCGACACATAATCCTGACTTTGAAGTTTGCCTTTCCATCTAACTAGCTGTGAGATCTCAATTTTCTGAACCTCGGTTCCCTTATCTATAAAGTAGATGGCTGTGATTGTGAAAAGAAAGTTGTGTAAAGATGGTTAATAAATGTTGGTTCCTTTCTCCTCTCACCTGTACTATATCTAGGTTAGAGATTCGGACCTGGGTCCCTGGGTGAGATCAGACCAACTGTGGCCCTCTGAGATGCATGCCAACAGGGGAGAGGCTGTTTGTGTGTGCCCTTTTCCTCAGGAAGAGTCAATAGCATTCATCAAGTTCTCCAAGATTCCATAAATGCCAAAACCTTAGGACCCACAGCTGGATCATATTCGTTATGCCTTTCTGGACCTTGTATCCATCACTGTGTTTTTCTTCAGATATAAGGATTAGAATTAAGTCTGATAGGATAAGTGCAGAAGTTCACCTTGGCTTCTCAAATCTGGACCCACTAATTCAGGCTGAACATAGAATGTAGTGTGTAATCATTTGGTAGAGCCTATAATTTTATGGAGAATCCCTTTAAGCCTACCTTATTCCATTCCCATCTTAGGGAGGTACATTGCCAGTTTTGGCAAGGGTGATGGTGTGTTCTGGTTTATATGGGAGAGTCCTGGTTTATGCCTTTATCTCAGTGAAATAATTAACTATACCCTTCTTGCATCCCCAAAAAGGCCTCATTTGAATAATAAATTATGGTCATCCTAGATTTATTTTTATTTTTTACCAAATTCATCTTCTGCCCAAATCCTTACTTTTAATTTTTTTCCAGTTTTCTTGATTTGCACTTATTTTTCAGAGGACTCTAATATATTATCAGATATTTATTCTTATTCAAGGTCATAGTAGCAATGAAGTGAAATCAACTTTTAAAATTGTAAAACTCGTTCTAAACACATGATGGAGCTAGTCAGATGAGACTCTACACATCTGTTGGCATGAAAAACTGCACTTATCTGGAGCTGAATCAAAAGGAAAATAGAAACAAATCAAGATGGATACAAACACAATTTCCCATATGAATCTGTCAGCAAAAAAACAAAAAAATCAATATTTATACATTTTTTGGGAAAAAAAACAGTAAGAGGATTATGTAAAGTAATGAAACTAGTGTCCATGTCAGTGCCATAAAAGAACATCAGAATGCATTCACAACACCCCAATTAAAGAAAAAATTGTTATTGAGAAAATGAGGCCAGGAATCTTTAACAAGACATTGAGGGAAGATAGATCTGTATCACATCAATGTGAAATGTCCCAGGTAAGGGGCGGGGGAGGGGATAAGAAATTAACCAAAGGACTTGTATGCGTGCATATAAGTATAACCATTGGACACTAGGGGGAGTGGGGACATGTGCTGGGGGATAGGGGTGGCCAGGGAGAGGTCAATGGGGAGGAAGAATACTTATGTTGACAATAAATAATTTAAATTTTTAAAAAAGAGAGAGAGAGAGAGAGAGAGAGAGAGAAATATCCCAGGTAATCAGTTTCTACTAGAACAGGCATTGTGTATTAGGTTCAGTAGATACCAGTTATTTAGCTA